ACAAGTCCAAAATTTAAAAACGCATTAAGCATATATGTCATATAGTGAGGAGTATTGTAATGTAGGAAGACACATGTACAACAAGTTCACAATTTAAAACAACATAAAATGCAAAATAGAAGGAAAATAAGGAAATATAGTAATGTAAGATACTTAATCTAAGTTTTTATTTTTTATTTTTTAAAATTTCAAAAATATAAAAAAAACGCCCAGCCGCCTAGCACCGCCTAGAGGCACTCCGATTTTTCCAGCCGTTTTGCACGAAATCGCCTCGGTTCCAAGTTAACCCGCCCAGCGCCTAGGCAGCCGCGTAGGCCCTTTTGTAAAACATTGCTTCAGATACATCCAAAAGGTATTTGAAGAGGTATGAAATAGCCTATATAATTGGAGTCATCAGTTCTATCGAAAATCATTTTTTCTTCTTCCTTCTCTTCCGTACAAACATTCAAGAGAGTAAACACACAAAGCAATTCGCTAGAATTCTATAATCCAGTGCGGGTTTTAGAATTAGGTAGTTGTATCTTGGTTGAGTAGACGTTGTAGAACCACAAGCACAAGAGTGGGACGAAAATACTATTCAAAGGACATAGCTTTTGCGCTAGCCTCTACCTGTTGTAATCAAGTTAGTACCATTTTAATTCTTGTATTTGTTTCTGTAATTTCATTATGTATAGCAAGTATTTTTAGTTAATAAAGTATTAAAATTTCAAATTATTTTATTTATATTTATTTCTGAATTGTTCTCCAACAATATATTGTTACAATCTTGGGATATGATTTATTATTTCTTCTGCCTTTTATGAACACTTCCGTCAATCTACTCTATATATACACACACAAACAAACGAAACCATAACCACATATTTTTAATTTGAACTCAACCATATTTTTATCAATTCAAGAAGGTTTCTATAGCACTTGAACTAGACTCCAATGAATAAGGATCGAAGGGAGGGGGAGCGCACACTTGCTTTTGCAACTTTTAATGCCAGGATTTGCATGTGATTCCGTACAATTTGTCAAATTTCATGGAGCGCCACGCCACAGGTGAGCGACGCGAAAACAAAATTGATGAAATGCAGCTCGATCTGAAACGCAGTTATAAAAAGAAATTTGGGTTTTGAAGCTTCTCTCAGAGGGCAGCTAATTGTGATATTGCTAGATATATTCCGATTCAGTTAGAAACTCACCTAGAGATGTCTCCTCGTGTGTGTGTGCGCGCGCGTGTGTCTATATATATATATATATATATATATATATAAACTTTGAATGTGATCCCTAACTCGCAATATTCTTTGACCTAAGCCTTGTTAGTTTTCAATGACTTTGAATGTGGTCTCTAACTCTCAATATTCTTTGACCTAAGCCTTGTTAGTTTTCAATTTTTGATTGAAATCTTTGAAATTAATGTAATACTTTATTTCTATGTATATTACTATATTTTTAAAATTAAAAATTGAAATTTATAGTTGTTTATATTAATGAGATTTTAAATAAAAATCCATAATTTGTGGGAGTAAAAAATATTAAAATATAAATTATAATATTGTGTGTATGTATATATAAGCATGAGTACATTCATCAAAATTAACAAAAAAATTATTGTACCAAAACATGGGTACATTCTTCAAAACCACACAGAAAAAGTAAAAGATATTAGACTTAATAACATTAGTAAATTTCTTCAATTAAACTTGACATGGATACATTCTCAAATCAAAATAAAAGAATGTACCCATATAAGTTTAAAAATGGTTAGAAAAAAATTGAATAAATTTTATATAAAAAGAAGGTACATTTAACATATAACAAATTGGTATATTTAAGCATGCGTAAATTTTAAGATTAAAAATTTTAAAAAAAAATTACATGAATGGGTGCATATACGATTGAAAAATTGAAAAGATTTTTTAAAAAGCTAATTGGTACAAACTTATTCTAATTTTTTTATTTATTTTAGAAATGTTTTGAATTAAAAATTAGTTAGGAGTTTAATAAAGGTGTGAGTATTAAAATCCTAAATTAATTATTAATTTTTATTTTAAAAAATTATGTAACTGACATGTAAATTCATTATTACATTAATGCTAGGATTTGGATCAAAATCTGAAAACTAATAAGGTTTCAGTCAATAAACATTAGTAACTAGGGACAAGAAATAATTTTTCATATATATATATATATAAATTAAGTACAATCTGGTAATGTTATGGAGAGATATTCACAAACAAAAAGATGTCTCCTTGTACGGACATAATTGTTAAATTTTGAAAGGGTTCGCGAACAATAATTCAATGCCATTGCCTTATAGGAATAATTAACCATATATAGACTAGCTTAATTAGGTAATACAAGTGGTAGCCTTAATAAATGATCAAAAGTTTGTCTTATCTCAAAGCTTACCTTCAAAATTTGTGGAATTATATTTGAGGAAAAGCATGATAGAGAATCGATTGTTACTTAATGTTGGGAGACTTTTAGGTCAAGTTCGACTTAGACTTTCATACTAAGTTCCGAAATATCTCGAAAGAATTAGCATGAGAAGGAGAAAGTTTGCATAGTGTTCTAGGCCAAGTAATCTGGATTTCCTAGGGTTCTAAGAATGCTTCTCCTAACTGTAATGGTTGAAGGAAGGTTCAAGAAAGCCCAAGGTCACATGAAGATGGTTCTTTTGAAGATCCAGACTGTTTGCACATAGGGAGTGATTTCCCTAGCTTGGTGTAGAACAACCTTGAATGCCTTCTCCCATTCTCCCCATCTCTCATTCTCACATTTTTCTCTCTGTTTAAACCTCTGTATTATTATTGTGGGACCGTGCTTTTTTAGGGCTGGGGTAAAGTTGACCTGAATACAGTTACCTCAAAAGTTCGGTCATGAACTCACCGACTCTTAGCAAAGCTAGATTAGACATAGTAACGGTGCCATTATCACCTTATTATGGGCCAATAGCTAGGGTCCAAGCGACTTTACTGGATGACCATGCTTATTCCTAAAATCTAGGAATATACGTGCCGCAAGTAATCATAAACTCTAGGATCATGCAATATCTACTTCTAGATATTCTCTAGGATTCTTTCGACTTAGAACGAGGATCCTATCCTAAAAGGTCTCTCTCTTGATAGTATAAATACACCCGCCTAGGGTTCATCACAGGTAACGCAATCTAAACGCTTGAATTCTCTTGCCCACTGCTTGAATCTAAAGCTATTCATTAACTTAACTGTCAGAGAGCCTTTGGCCGACACATCCCCTGGTCTTAGGCTTGCTCATGGTTGTTTGTTGTTTTGCAAGTAGTCGAGTTTGAGTACTTCCTTCACATGCGATGGTGCATGAATTTGGTTCCAATAATTGGTGCTTTCATGAACTCTTATTCCTCTTGGCCATATCACTACACAATCTGACATGTCTGATGGTTCAGTTAACAACGACGACCTCATTGCCCTCTAAAACAATGCAAACCAAGAATATGACAGGGTCACCGTCATAGACGAGATATGGGAATACGTCATGAAAATTTGTCTATCTTTGGAAAACATCCAACGAAGTCCGTTGGTCAGAGAGCATAGAAAACTCGCTAACATAAAAGCGCGTTTAGGAATCTGACTTGGAGGCTTTTTTTGCATCAAACCAGTTCATCCCTATCATCACGCAATCATGTTCTTCCAAAACAATGGTTTTTATCTCGATATTTTTGCAGCCCTGATAACATGAACATTCACCATAATGCATGACCCAACTTTACATTTTTCGAATTTTAGATTCTACATAAATTGTGTATGCATTATATTCATAATTGTTGAATAATGTGAATTTGATATTGCCATGAATTGCATCAAATATATGTCCATGCATTAAATTATATAATATGCACTGAATTGAATTGAAAGAAGAAAAAAAATAAAAGAAATCGGAAAAGGCAACCTGGGTTCTTCAAACCCATGACCTTGAGCCATTCAACCAAGCCTACAGCTTGGGTGGCCGAGTTGTGCCAAGCCGGAGCCGAGGGCTCCAGGTTTAAAACCCAAAAACCCCGACGCATTCCATGACGTCTCCACTATTTCAGGTTAGCGTGCAGCCAATCCTCACCCACGGGTCATCATGTTTTGACGACTTGCAGTTTATCCCCGACACCGATTGACTGAGATTCCCTCGAATCTCATCAGAATTTTTTTAATTTTCCGATTCATATTTCAAGGATTTTGGTAGAACGTTAAGATTTCTCAATCTCTGTTCATATTTGTGGTCTCCATTGACCCATGAACTCATCCCGAACATCGTTGTCCCAAAGCACAGCTGCCTAAAGCGGTGGCACCGGCTTTCTTCCTCGGCGAATGCACCCAGCTACAGCTGAGGTGTCTTTGGACCCAACCTGAGCCCTATTGGGCTTGTCTCTCAGCCTGTTTCCTTTTTCTTCTTTAAGCTCACCTGTAGCGGCTCGTTACCTTTGCTCGACCCATCTTTCATTTGTTGTGGGTTTGCAACCTAGCCAAACCCATTCCAGCCCAACTTTGGGCTTGGATCGCACAACTCAAATTTAAGCAGCCCACCCGTGGGCTTTGGCCCATGATTTTGGGCCCCAAGCTTCAATTGTTTATTTTTTTTAGACAATTTGGGTTTTATATTTTTCACCCACACTTAAATTTGGCCCGAAGTCCAAATAATTAATTCAATTATAATTATAGACATGGAGTTCTATTTGCATATTTCCTTGTTGCATATTTCTATGTATATATTTGCATTTGTCCGCAGGAACATATGAACCTGAAGTTCATAATTATTTCAAAACCTGAAGTTTTCCTTAAAAACATCACCCATGAAAACCCGAAGTTTTTCATGCGAATTTAACCAATACATGTCTATTAGAACCTGAATGTTCTACTCCTATGTGAATGGATTGATTTTTTTTCTCCACTGCACTAATCACATCTTGTCCTTTATTTTGTGATAGGAACATGTCGAATTTGAACAAACTCGACTTCACCGCTTTGGATGACTCTGAAATGAACTACTGTCAGTTGGTCCAAGATGTGAAGCTCCACATCACTGCAAAGAATTTGCATCCTATCATTGAAGATGAGATAGACAACCCTGTTAGCGAAGCTGAGAAAGCCACTACCATGATCTTCATCCGAAGACATATTCATGACACACTACAAACTGAGTACCATACTGAGGAGGATAAACAAGCACTATGGGTCATTTTGGCTGATCGTTTTGATCACCAAAATGACATCTTCTTGCTTGCAGCAAGACATGACTAGTAGCATTTACACTTCTAAGACTTTAAGTTTGTGAATGAATATAATTCTGAAGTTTGTCGAATCAGATCACCTCTTAAGTTTTGTAATGAAACTTTAACCGAAGAGGATCTCCTGAAGAAGACCTATTCGACCTTCTCTGTTACTAATATTGTCATGCAGCAAAAATATAAAGCTTATAAGTTCACCAAGTTCTCAGATTTGATCTCTGTTTTACTTCTCGCTGGAAAGCAAAACCAACTGTTAATGAAGAATCATTAAGCTCGACCTACTGGGTGACTGATGTGCCTAAAACACACTATGGCACGAACCAATGCCCAAAACACCAAAAGAGGAGTGGAAAGGGCTGCCAGAAGCCACCTCATCATGGTCAACAGAGCCAAGGCCCATGTAAGGGAGGAAAACAAACCCCAAATCGTCCTAACCTCACTCCCAAGACCCTAAACTTCAAGAATAAGGGCAAAGCACCTGAAACCATGGATGCAGATAAATGTTATCGCTATGATTCAAAGGACCATTTGTCCCATGTTTGCAGAGCTCCCCAAAAGAGTGTAGCTTCCCGTCATAAGAAGTTTGAATCCAACTTTATGCAAGTGGACAAACCGGAGAGTTCGAAGATGAAGGTTTCTGACTTTAAAGAGGCTATCACACTTATGGAAGATTAGAATCTTAGACATAAACTATTTTTTAGTTGAAATAAGACATTGAGGCCAAATTCCACAGTAGTGGCCGAACCCCCTCCTTGTTTTTTGGTTAAATTTTGAATAATTTTCCTTTATGTTTCGATTATTTGTTGGTGATTTTTTTTTGGATATTAAGTTTTTAATTAATTTCCGTCCTTGAATGCTTAAAATTATTTTGAATGGATATTTTTATTTAGAACATTGATGCATGTGACCGATTCAAATTAATTTTTCATTCTAGGTATGACTAGTGGGGAAGTTTGTTGTCTAGTAGATAGTGCAAGCACGTACACCATTTTACGTGAATGTATCTATTTCACTAACTTCGTACCTAATGATGCACCTCTAACAACCCTTTCAGGTCCATCCAACCTAATAGAAAGATATGGTAAGGCATGTATAATGTTGTCCAATGTTACAATTTTGACTATTGATAAGACAGTCTATTCTCCATGTTCCGGAAGAACGTTGTTGATCTTTAAGGACATTAGAGATAGTAATTACTACGTTGAAACCCACGTAGAAAACGAAGTTGAATTTCTGTGCATAACTTCCTATGAATATAGCCAGAAACGTATTATAGAGAAGATGGAGCGTATCCTGAGTTGTCTATATACTACAACCATAAGCCTCATAGAGAGCCACTATGTGGTCAGCCTTACCTCTGGGATCTCGCATGAAATTACATTTTGGCATGATCGTTCGGGACATCCTAGACGAATAGCAATGCGTCGTATTCTCAAATCAACACACGGGCATCCATTAATCCGAAGTTTAGGTTCGATTCAAAAAATCACATGTCAAACGTACCAAGCTCTCGATTGCTACTTGGGGCTATGCAATATTGCACGCAGCCATGTTAGTCTACCTGAAGCCTATTACGACCCAACCATATAGCACCCTTCAGTTGGTTACCAGATACGAACTCGACATATTGCATTTGTGCATTTTTGGTTATGCGGTCTATGTGTCGATTTCGCTGCCCTTATGTACAAAAATGAGGCCTCAGTGAATGATGAGAATCTACGTTAGATATGATTCTCTTTCGATTATTCGTTCCTTAGAACTTTTGACAGGCGATTTGTTTACCGCTTGTTTCGTGGATTGTCACTTCTATGAGACAGTCTTCCCGTCGTTAGGGGGAGATAAAAATGTCAATGTTCCTGAAGAACAATGTGAATTATCGTGGATGACTCCCACTTTGTCTCATTTAGATTCTCGCGCTGCTTAGTCTAAAATTGAAATGCAACGCATATTAGATCTCCAGAGCATGCCAGATGCTTTCACCGATCTAGCACGAGTGACAAGATCACATATTCCATATGTGAATGTACCTACAAAGATAGATGTACCAAATGTACAACGAACTTCCCTCCTGGAGGCCCGGGACGCCAATTTGGCCGATCCACGTACATTAGCGGCTAGTTAATCATTTGCCCCTACACAAAAGTGTGGTAGACCTCTTGGTTCAAAGATTTCACACTCTTGAAAGAGGAAACCCACAACATAAGCTTCTGAAGAACCTACCATGAATCTGGCTGTCGCTTACTTATTCTATCGTGAAATTTTGGTTTATTATGCTAGCTTAAATGATGTGTGGTGTATAAATGAGATGATTATTGACGATGCATTAGCATATGCGGTAGCTACTGAGATCATGTTGAGTGATGACATTAAACCGCGTGCCATTGATGAATGTTAACGTAGAACCAATTGATCAAATTGGAAACAAGCAATCCAAGTGGAACTCAATTCGCTTGCGAAACGTAAGGTGTTTGGACATGTAGCTCATACTCCTCCACATGTGAAACCTGTTGGCTACAAGTGGGTTTTTGTTCGACAGCATAATACAAAGCTCGTCTTGTTGTGCAAGGCTTCTCACAACGCCCCGAGATTGATTGTGATGAAACTTATTCACCCATTATGGATGTGATTACTTCTCACTACCTTATCAATTTGGTAGTTTCCGAAAAACTGAGTATGCAATTGATGGACGTAGTAACTGCGTATCTCTATAGGGATCTTGATACGAAAATTTATATGAAAGCTCCCGAGAGACTTACATTGTCTGGATCAAATATTTCCAAATCCCGGAACACACTCTTAATTCGACTGAAGCGTTCACTCTGCGATTTGAAGCAATCTAGAAGAATATGGTATAACTGTCTGAGTGAGTATTTGACTAGTTAAGGATACGTGAACCACGAACTATACCCTTGTGTGTTCATTAAGAAGTCATATTCCGGTTTTGCGATGTTGCAGTATATGTCGATGACATTAACCTTATCAGAACTTCTGAAGAGTTCACGAGAACTGCCGCGCACCTAAAGTTAGAATTTGACATGAAAGATCTAGGAAAGACTCGATATTATCTTGATCTCGAGATAGAGCACCATTCGGATGAAATCTTAGTACATCAAACGAATTACACCCAGAAGGTGTTGCGTTGCTTTAACAAAGATAAAGCGAAGCCTTCCAGTACTTCTATGGTCGTTCGATCGTTAGATGAAAAACGAGATCCCTTTCGTCTGAAGGAGGATGATGAAGAGATTTTAGAGCCTGAAGTTCCTTTTCTAAATGCAATAGGCGCTTTATTGTTTTTAGCTTGATGCACTAAACCTGAAAATCTCATTCGTTGTTAATATTTTGGCAAGATACAGTAATGCACCAACACGTAGGCACTGGACTAGCGTGAAAGACATCTTCTGTTACCTTAAGGGTATTACGAATTTGGGGTTATTCTATCCATACAGATCCTTGAGTAATGCCACACCTCCTCTACTCGAGTTGATTCTCATCTTGTTGGTTATGCTGACGCATGATACTTATCTAATCAGCACAAGGCGCGCTTTCAAACAGGTTATGTCTTTACCGTTGGAGGCACCGTAATCTCTTGGAGGTCAACTAAACAGACCTTAGTTGCCACTTCGTCTAACCATGCTGAAATTCTCGCCTTACATGATGCAACTCGGGAATGCTTTTGGTTGAGAGCAGTTGTGGGCCATATTTGAAGTTCTTGCGATCTTTACCCCATTGTTGACATCTCGAAGATGATTTATGAAGACAATGCAGCATGTATCGAACAACTCAAGAAGGGTTACATCAAATGAGACAACACCAAGCACATTGCACCGAAGTTCTCATTCTCACATAAAAAACAAGAGCATCAGAAGATTGAAGTCACACAAATCCGTTCACATGACAATCTAGCCGACCTCTTCACCAAATCACTACCGAAGGCGACGTTTCAGAAGCTTGTTCAAGGAATTGGTATGCGTAAACTTTCTGAGTTGTAACATTACTATTTCTTTTTGGAATTGTGATGGAGTCAACCTATTTAGAAGTAAGAACGTCTAGTCATACGTCTTAATGTTTTATCAGTTTTCTTAACTTTGAAAAATTAATTAAGTAAATTTGGTCCTAATTGGGTAAGGCATCATGAGGAATTCTTGAAAAATAAACATCGTCAAGAAAGGTTGACTATGCGAAAAATCAGGGAGGTAAGCAAGAAGGAATTTCCAAAAAGATTCAAGCAACATGTGAGTTGATATAACAGTCGCATTATTTACTTACCTTTTTACATTTTAATTATGACGTGTCTATAGTTGTCCTATCAATTTTTATCTTTGTTTGTACTTATTACAGATTAATTCAAGATGTCATGCTAAGGACATGTTGATATCTGAAAACTTGAATTGGCTTGCTAATTATCCTAGCAGGCTTGTGACTAGATTCAAATTATTAATGGGTTCAGATTTTGTATAAAATTTGTGGATGAAGCATAAGAATCAAAATTGTGGTGTCTTTGTACCTACAAATATTTCTAGCGCAATTGGGCAAGTGGATTGTTTTGGTAAAGTGGTATATATGTTTGAGGTTAGATACTATAGTCCTACGGAGGCAGAAGATAGGGGTCGAGCTGTGATGCTATATAAGTGCGAAATGGTTAATATTGAAACTCCAAGAAGTATGAAGACTGATCAATATAGATTTACTTCGGTGAACTTCAATCGATTGGGACTTGAAGAGGATCCTTTCATATTAGCTTCACTAGCTTACAAGTATTTTACGTGGAGGACACAATTGAAAAAGATTGGCATGTAGTTGTTCAAATGCAGCCGAGGGATTTGTTTGACGTATTGGAGGATAAGGATGCAATTGATAATTATGCTATACCAAATTTGGATGATTGGGTACTTGACAATGAAAATTTGCATACTAACATTGCCTGCCAAGTTCGTTAATTCAATCAATGACCACAATGAGCTAACGGATGATGGCATGGAATGATTTTATATCTTATTTTATACTTTTTAAGTATTGATTAGACTATAAATTTAGTACTGCGGTGACATTTTCATTCTCTAATTATCTCTTCGTTCCTTTATTGCATATTTGATATGTGGGCCATTTTCTTGTTCTTGGGACCAAAATAAGACAAACCGGCCATGCACACTCCATGCACACCATGCACACCATGCACAAAAGCGAAATGAAATACCCACATATAAATTATAAAACTCATAGCTCATGTGCATGTCCTTGTTCATGTCGTGTACATGTAGCATACATACAGTG